GTCTGCTGCCGACTTCATCACCATGAACAGCTTCGACACCGACTACCTCAAGACCCAGTCCTTTGACGGATTGACCGATGACCTCGGCGTCTCGCCCGGCATGTCCCAGAACTCCGCGCCCCACACTCCTCACAGCGCCGTCATGAACAACGGCTACCATCCCGGCCCCTTTGACAACCCCGACCTCCGTCTGCCTCACCACGACAGCCCTGCGACGCCCTCTCTCTCGCGCACGCAATCGCTCCGTGGAACCCCTCACCGCCGCACCGACTCCCTCGCCAGCATCGTCAGTGCTGCCAGCATCTCCGGCATCAACATTGAGGAGACCAAGACCGAGACTGGCGTCACGACGGATGACATTGCCATCTACATCCAGGGCCCTGATCCCGCCGACAACAAGTGGATGTGCTTGTTCGAGGACTGTGGCAAGAAGTTCGGCCGCAAGGAGAACATCAAGTCGCACGTCCAGACCCACCTCAACGACCGCCAGTACCAGTGCCCCTCGTGCCACAAGTGCTTCGTCCGCCAGCACGACCTCAAGAGGCACGCCAAGATCCACACCGGTATCAAGCCTTACCCTTGCGAGTGCGGCAACAGCTTTGCTCGCCACGACGCCCTCACGCGCCACCGCCAGCGCGGCATGTGCATCGGCGCCTTTGACGGCATCGTCAAGAAGGTTGTCAAGCGCGGTCGCCCCCGCAAGCACCGCCCCGAAATGGACGAGCGTGTCAACAAGTCCGCTCGCACCCGCTCCAAGAACCAGTCCATCAGCTCCATTTCTTCGCAATCCGGCTACTCTGACACGTCCGGTGCCAACTCGCCCGAGAACTACAACCCCATCTCCGACAATGACTTCGCCGCCATGACCATGGACATCAAGCAGGAACAGCAACACGCCCGACACGCCCGGCCCATGCCTTTCGAGACCGTCTCCATGTCGTCGGCGCCCATGTCCTCCGCCCCGATGCCCTCGCCCCCGCCCGCCCGCGCCTCTCCCCTGCACCACCACGAGAACGACCTGGACGTGGCGCCCTCGCCTTCCGTCGCCAGCCACGTCTCCTCCTTCGTCTCGCCCGAGGAGATCATGGACCACCCCTCTGTGCACTCGCATCATGACGCGTCCCCGACCAAGAGCACCCCTAGCCAGTACAACACGCCCCCTGAGCTCTCTCAATCCTCCTCGCCCCCGCCCCACCACTTCTTCGACGCCGAGCCTGGCAGCGTCAGCTTTGCTGATGACTCGCTCCTTGCTGGCATGCGCACCAGCTCGGCTGGCGGCCTCGGCAGCGCCGGCAATCTCTCAGGCCTCGGCCTCGGCGACCACGATGAGGAGCTTCTCATGAAGGCCTTTGACGACAATCTGGGCGCCTTTGACCGCGACCCCAACGTGCTCATGATGAGCGACTTTGACGATGCCGTTGACATGTTCACGAACGGCGACGACGTCTTCTTCGGCACGTCATGATTCCGGTCCTTCGCCATGCTTTTCGCTCGGCTCGGAGCTCTACTTTCGGCGCTGGTTCTTTTCACAATTTGTCTAAATATTTGCTCTACCAATATGGGGTGGTGCCCTTGGTTTTACGGCACGGGCACCTTCCTGGGACAAACTCGGACGTGTGTACTAATATTCGGCAACGGCGGTTCGGTACTTGGGAATTGGGTCATGGTCAAAATAAATTGGCGAAACGGGGGATCTTTCGGATTTGTGTTTATGGGGGCTTTTCTTCGGTGTGTACCTATGTAGGGGCCAGAAATCTGATGTGGCGAGCCATGTGCGTCTCGAACCAGATCCTGGTGTTTTTATGGGATAGATGGTTCAATTGACATGTTCACGGGCTTCCATCCGGTCTGCTATGCACGTGATACGGTGTTTCATCAGGGGCTGTCATCATGAACGAGTGTCGTGGCACAGCTGCCGTACCTGTTCGCTTCAGCAAGGCATGTCTCCGATGCTTTCCTCGCCATACTAGGCTGTGATGAACACGAGTGTAAACTGTCGATTCAACAGTATGCCGCGGAAAGATGAATGCCCATTGTTTATTAAGTCTAAAACCCAAAGGAGATATAGCACAATCTATGCGAGCGGTCTAGTCTACGCTCTGAAGGGCCCGCTATCTTACACAAGTCCCGATTCAAACTTCTAAAATCCAAGCAATGACTCCGAACATTGAGCATCTCCGAAAGAAAAAGCCCAAGTATGCATGATGCGATTATTCCCGACGGAAAAAAATCGAAAAGCCCACGGACATCCGTGGCCACACAAGATATGAGAAACAATGTCCCTGAAACGAAACCGTTTTCGGAGGCGATGATCTCTGCGGACGGACGAACAGACGGGCAGACGGGCCTCTACTTCTTGCCCTCGGCCTTCTTGGTCGCCTTGGTCCGCAGCTTCATCATGATGTAGACGAGCGCGTAGAAGCCCATGCAAAAGATGACGACAATGGCGGCATTTCTCCAGCCAAAGTACTTCTCCTCCAGGTTGAGCGTGCGCAGAAAGTCGCCGCCCTCGGTGTACTGGCACACCTCGCAGCCGGCCGTCGCGTCCGGGTTGAGCAGGTTCGTGTCGCGGCCCATGGCGGTCTGCTGGAAGGCGGCGAGGTACGCGCCGCACGTCTCGTTGGCGGGCGGGTCGAAGATGGCGAGCTCCGAGGGGCGGCACCGCACCGGCTTGTCCCAGGTCGTGAAGACGAGGAGCGCGCTCATGATGTAGTTGGAGGGGGTCGGAGGTAAGACAGCGAGGGAGGCGGGCAGACTCGGAGGTAGAGAACAAGGAAAGAGGGGAAGGAGGGAGGGAGGGGGGAGGAGAGGGGGGAGGGATATGGGTAGAGATCAGGAACAGGAAAAGAAAGAAAAAAGAAGAAAAGGAGAGGTGGGAAAGGGAGGAGGGTAAAAAGAGACAGAAGGCACAAATAGAGGAATGAGTAAGGAGAAGGGGGGACGAAGGAGAAGAGAGAGACAAGAATGTTTTGTTTTAGTTATACGGGGATGTCACACAAAGAGAGGAAGGTGATAATACGTCGGTGGGGGGCGAGGAGCAGCGATGTGAGGAGGAGAGCAGAGAGAGAGGAGAGAAGGAAGGTCGGAGTGAGGGAGAGAGAAGTGGAAGAAAGAGGACGGGAGAGAGAGAGCGGAGAAGAGTAAGGAGAACTCGTAGGCAGCAAGATGGTGGCGTTAGTTATCTTAGGATTCGGAATGAGAAGTGAAAGGTCAAGAAAAAAAAGGGAAACGAAGCAATGCATGGCGTTGGGAAAATTGGGTTTCGCAGAGTTCATGT